ACTCGCGGTAGATGCTACTCACCTTAACTTACCATATCCTGGCAGGGGGTGGGGGTGCTCCAAACCGGGAGCAGTGTTGAAGGTCAAACATGGCCGAGATATTTGACCCTGAAATTGTGTCCTTGGACTGCCCACGAGAAACGAGCATCATGAGCATCAGCCGGGTTTTGGGCGAAATGAAAGGGAACATCATGATCATCAACCGGGTTTGGGGCGATTGCCGGATGCACTGCCTTGCCTTGAAATCTGACGAGGCCTAGGGGTAGGGGCAGGATTAGGGATCCCAATGGTAACCGTGACCGATCCACCACTCCTCTACAGCCTGAGCCTTAAACTATTATGAAGCCCCTGCCCAGAGTTCAGCTCAGGATTGCCGCCTGCAACCTTCCAGCTCAGCCTTGCCGTAGCCAGATTCAAAAACCGTAAGCCGCAAGCAGGATTGCAGGTTCTCTCGTTTGAAGCTCGGCATTTTCCCAACAGCACAGCGTAGTCTATATTCGTAGTCAGACTATCCCAGTCGAGAATCCCATTATCATACAGTAGTATTACAAAAATATAACCAGCACAGTAATAGGAACCTCAAGCCTTCGTTTATAACAGTGTTAGGTCGAGGCTTCGTCGGAATGGCTCTCAAGATGGGCCACGTCCCAAGAATATTTTAGTTCATTTATTGTTGGGTTGATGAGGCTTCCGTCCCAAGAAGAATAGTCGGTGTATATTTTCGGGTCGAGGGGTTCCCTAGCTATGCTCTAGCTACTATAGCTCGGAATAGTCAGTACAGTATTGTAATTAGAATTTAGAAATTATTGGCGTTGATCGGATGAAATCTATACCGCCTCAAATCTGCTTCAAAAAGCCACGACTCTGTTGTAGGGGATGGTTTAGGCTTCGGGGGCGGCGGTTTCGGATCCAATTTCTAGGTTGCTTTATGAATGAGCGGGTACATCACAGGACGACATCATGCTGCAGGTTACAAAAACTAGCGGGATTGTCGGGCGAAGTTAAGCTGTGATCAGACTGTGTTGTTGGGCCGTAGGGAATGATTCTTTGGGCTTCGCTGGGGGCGGCGGTCTCGGATCCAATTACGAGGTTCCTTTATTAACGAGCGGGGACACCCTCAGGACGACATCATGCTGCAGGTTTCAAATTACTGATAGTAGCACAAACTAGCGGGATTGTCGCGAGAACTTAAGCTGTGAATTTCAGCGCGAGCTTGCTGCAGTGTAACCCGATCAATCCTCTTTACTGAAGTGCTGGTGAGGGGGACTTCTTCTCCTTCCAGCCGCTTAGACCCTAGTGACGCTCTTTGCACTTGCACTTACGGCTCAGGCTGTCCAGCATGTCCTTGGAAACTAGTAGCACGGTCCTCTGCCGCCACTTCTCCCCGTACCTAGAAGGCTCCAAGGCTTCATGCGTCTTGTCAAGACTGTGATTGAACTTGTAACAGATTGAAGCAAGTCAATTCAATCCAATGCGGGAACCAGAAACCTCGAGCCTGCATAACTCCAGCGTGACGGTTGACATCTCATAGTCCTGAATCAAAGCCACGTAACACGGCAGGTGGAAGAGCCTGGGATGGATGCATGAGGCGCTCGGGGCTTTGATCAGGGCGTAAGGCTTAGGGTTTATTGTAAAGGGGCGGTATAAGGCGAGGCCAGGAGCCAGGGTGAGAACACATTGATTTGGCGCAAGAATAATCAATAGAGTATAGCATAATGGGTTTGGGGGGGTTGGTGCTGCCCAATTCTTAATGCATTGCGAGTAGCAAGCTTGATGAAGGATTCTCGATTGAAACGGCTACGCCCTGGTCCAGCAACGCCGCTGCCGCTGCTGCTGCGTTCTTTGCGAGCCGATTGTGTTTCGGATTCTCTTCTTTAGATCATACTCCTTGCATCCCATACCCTTGCTCCGGATCGCATCACTGGACTAAGTATGTGTGCCAGCAGACGCGCCTGACTTGATATCTGGAAACGAGTGACGGGATTAGATGAAACAGTTTCGGCTGCAGCATGCCTGCACACTTAGACTTAGACTAGCGACTCCAGAAACAGACAGTGGCAGTCATCTCCACTTTTGCTTGTGCTCTACATTGCAGGTGTAAACTGTCCTCAGGCCTAGCGGCGTCTCCCATGGTCGAGAGGTTTCCTCATAACAAAGTATAGCACACCTCATTAGTTCCTGGTGAGGAAGTTGGAGCAAGCATCGAAGGTTGTTGTGTAAAGGTCGTGCGCAGTGGAATGCTGCTGAAACATACGGTGCACGAAGGCTCTCGACCACGCAGATCAACTCCAGCCCAGCGGAGTCTCGTCTTGGGCTTGGTGAAACTCTGACTCTCCAACCGCTGCACGGGCATCCGATTGTGCATTGTACAAATAACTGGGAATGGAGGCAGAGGCAGAGCTGTCATGCAGTAACAGAGTACCTCAATCTGTGTTGCACAATTCTCGCCCGAAACTCCCTGACTTGCCGAGTCTGCTCCATGAGATCAGAGGCATGTTGCGGGAACCCCAAAGACCTCGCGAATTTTAAGCGCATTCCTGCATTAAGATTACAACATCCACAAGCATTCGTGTTTCGAAGGTTCGAGTTCTGTTCATGGCTCGGCTTGGCACTTTATGCGAGCCGCAAATTAAATGACGATTAAGCTGGAATAGTGGATATTATTTTCGAGGTGCAGAATCAGGGATGAAAATAAAGGGTCTAGGGGTGTTTCTGGCTGAGATTTCTTTGAGATTGAGGGGTCAGCTGGCATACGCCACAGCTGTGCAGCTCAGACTTGTTCTAATTTAACACCCCGCCTCTTGACCCTAGACTAACAGTGCACTTTAACATGCAGATGCAGGCTTAGGACCTGCTCCAACACCTTCAGCAACACCTAGAAATATCTGGAGGGTCTGCAGAGTCTGATGGAAATTTTAAGAACCACATTGCACTCCCGAAGACATCATAGTTGAAAGCCTTGCGTTAGAACGACTTCGGCCCTGGATAGACTGAAATTGCCTTGGGCAGCATCTTGCTTGAAAGTAGAACATCTAGACTAGCCCTTTCCAATTGATTGACGGTCGATACCCTAGGCGAGGTTATCGGGAGTTAAAGGCAGTGACACAGGACCTCGAAGCTCAGGTAAGCTCTGTACCTACGCACTGTTCAACCCTCCCATCAAACCAGAAGCTTGATACTGTAAAATCTGCAGTCTACTCCCCAACACACAGCCCGATTCAGCCCAGACCCTGCTGGATGCAGCAACACGCTTCCGAACCTGACAAACTTACTAGGCTCCCAATCCAAATGTGCCCACAGCTCCACATCCAAATTCAAAACGCTACGCCAAGTTCAAAGCCCTGAATCTGAAGTCCAAACCTCAAAGGCCCACTTTCATCACGAAACTTCTTTAGACCCTAGGCCCTACCCTTTACACCCTAAGCCGCAAACCCTTTTCCAGCCCTAAACCAACACCGTTTAATTTAGATCCTAAACCAACGATCCCTTGAGGCTGGATGCCGGTGGACATTCCGATCTACCGGAGCCCAAGTTGGGGTTGAGGGTTTGTCTTTTTCGGGTTTAGGGTTTATATGGGGTATACGGTTTAGGGTTTCGGGGGCCTCATGGCGGATTGTGTTTTGCGGGTTTAGAGCTTATAGGGTTTATGGTTTAGGGTTTTGGGGGCCTCGATGTGGTTTCAGTTTTCGGGTGTAGGGCTTCTAGGGTTTATGGTTTAGGGTTTTGGGGGTCTCCGTCTTTGGGTGGTGTGTGTTTTTGTCGGGTTTAGGGTTTATAGGGCTTGCAGGGTTTATGGTTTAGGGTTTTGGGGGCCTCAGGGTCGGACTGCCGCCGCGGGAGCCTTCCAGGCAGGTGGTTTGGGGTTGGGTATTGTTATATTAGTGTTTTCGGGGAGCTTAGCGGGTTTAGTTTGGAAGCGGCCTCCGCCGGGCAAGTGTTAATCTGTGTAACGTAGATGTATAAGGCCCTTAATATCATTCAGTACCCAAGGTTTTTAGTCTCGGGGCGTTGGTTTTTAGTTTTATGTGCTTTCTAGGATTACTACTGAAAATCAAGCAGAATCTGGGAACTAGCAGTAATATAATTCAAAGCCCCTTCGGCCTGGGCTGATGCGATCCGACTGCCGCTGCGGGAACCTCTAGCTTGGAAAGGTTTAGGGGTTTAGCAGCTTAGCACTTATTATATTTGTGTTTTTTCGGAGCCTTAGCAGGCTTCAAGAGCTCAGTAACGGTTGGGTGTCTATTTGTGATGAAGATGTACAGGTTGAGGCACTTAACTGATCCCTTTCTTGTCAGTAGACTGTGACTGAGTCTGAGCTGCTGTGGGGGCAATACCCAAGGTCAGCGCGTTGGTTCTCGGATTTGGGCATTACGGTATTTAATCCTGTGACCAGAATAACCCATAGCTTAGTCACGTAATATCTGGACCTGCAGCCCCGAGACTCCATCTGAGTCCATGCCAACCCAGACGAGCCTGGGATTCGAGGTTTGTAGATATTTCTCGTTATGAAAGCCTGTAACAAGGACCTTACCCCGGCTGCAACGATTCTTTCCTAAACCCTAAACCCTAAACCCCGCTACCACTGCCACTACTGCTGCTGCTGCTGCTAGCACTGCCACCGCGACTTCACCGGCACTAGCGCTGCCGCTGCCCTTGTTGCCTGTACCTCCACCTCTCTCCACACGCCGCCCCCGCCACCGCCGCCGCCACC